GCTCGGAGTTGCTTGAGGCTGTGAACCCAGCTGCAGAAGAACGTTGACCTCCAGTGAGGGGCAGGAGGCCATGGTTATAACAATAATAACTGTTATGCTCCAGTGTTTGTATATTACTGTCCCCTGTGGACAGTTGACATTCAACTGTGCAAGTCTGTGGAATTCATCTAGCCCACCTAATTACTCAGATGAGCATGTGGCCTTTCCAGGCAGTTTAGCAAATACCAAGAACACTTATAGTAGTGCAGAGGTCAAGGGTAAAGACCTTTGACCTTGGTCTTTCCCAACCTATAATCCAGGGAGGTAAAACCCTGTATGCACCCCCTGGAAAGGTTGTTTTCCTGAGTTGGCAACCCCTACTCCTCTCCTCTTCCCTCCCCCCCCCCCCCCGGTCTGTCTGTTTTTTTTTCCTATTGTACTTCCTCACTGTAGCATCTGAGCACCGTCCCATGCTCACACTGGAAAGAAGTGAGTTTCTAAGGAAGCTCTGCGGACACTGGGGGAAAGTGAATGGATTGGGGAGAGTCCTTCATTATTGCATAGATAAATCTAAGGATGCTCCTTCTGGAGGGCCAGAATGCTGCCCTGTTGGCATCAGCGGCCCTCTGGAAGAAGCATAGAGGAGAGAAAAACGGGTGGTCTTTCTAAGGGGAAAGCCTTCCTGCCCTTTCATCATTGTCCATCCCTGAGGGAGAACCTGCTGTGGCAGAGCAGGTTTGCAAGTGGTCCAGCGTGGGAGTAGGGATTCAGCTTGTACCAAGGGAGCCCAAAATCACCCTCCTAGAAACAAGCACTGGGAGTTAGAGGGGGTTTGCTGTGCTAGGCAGCTGATGGGAGGGGGTTTTCCCCGAGGCGCATGTGGATGGTATTCAGCTGGGTGTCAGTTCTCCTGAGTGCAGAGGGGGTGTAAATGTGGGGTTTGAATTGGCTTCAAACATGCTGTTGTGATCTTTGTTTTCCCAGCAGTGCCAGCAGCAGTCGCTTCACGTCCTCAGAGCTCGATCATTCCAGAGTGTAAGAGACTGGCAAAGCACTTTGCCTCTTGCTGGGAAGCGGTCTGAGGGAGCTGGGGTTGCTTGAACAAACATGTTTTCCTCCTTTTTCTCCTTCCAAAGTTTTCCTTGGTTTTCGGTGGTTGTAGTAGAAACTTGGTTTGGGCCAAGTGAGTGTTTTGCTCCAGAAGGTCATCTGAGAGTTCCTCAAACTTTCAGACTTTTTTTAACTGAACTGAATGTCTTAAAGATAGTAGCACCTGCTTAAACTCTTGTAACAAGCTTAATCAATCACCCCAAATGTGCAGGGCTTAATGCCCTTAAGCTTCTGGAACTCTAGAATGGTATTGTTTCTTTTTTTTTTTAAAGAACTATCCATGTATTCCATGGCAAACTGGACCCAAATTCTGCAGCAAGGTCTCTGGATTCTGTGGCAGCAGCCTAGAAACCTTGCAGCAGTTCCTCTTTTCAAATAAAAAAAATGGAAGTTTTAATGATTAAATATGAAAGGTGAATAAGGCAATCAATACAATAGCCGCAGTGTTTATTTGAATAGTAAACTTAGCTTACAATGTCTCCATGTTTACCTTTTACAGTATTGTGTGGATTTTAGTAGCAACAATACATAAGTGCACCATGGAAGGCTGTAGTTTTGTCAGCCGTGGACTTGGTGCTGGGAAGGCGTAGGAGGCAGTTCAAGATTGACTACTTTAGGGATGTTCCTGCTGAAATTATCAGCAGTGAAAAGGTTAACTTTTACACTAAAATCCCCCCCCTTCCTCCTGTCCCCCGTCAATATCTCACTGAGAAGTGTGGAGCAATTCACATTTGTTGTTTGTTCCAGGCTGTCTGCAGACTCAGGCAGATGTCACTTCCACTTTCATATTTTCATCACAACCTTGAGGGCTGGAAATGGTGTTTTTAAGTGAAAGTTGAGATTCAGGAGCACTGTAGGAGAAGAGTGGAGGTTGCTTTTCCCCTTTCTCCATCCCCAGCTGAAGAATGTTAGAAGCTGCAAACTGTAATAAGAAGCATCTGTTTGGTATTGCCTTTGATGCTCTCAGCAGGAGGCAGGTTGGCTTTTAAATTCAGGTTTTTTTCCTTTTAATAGGCGCCAGTTTAGCTGATCCCACATTTCTATTGTGTCAATACTGCAGAGCTGCGGATTTAAAACGGAGGCTGTTGATTAGCTGAAGAAATGAGATCTTTCCTCTGTCCCTTAAAGCTGTTTCCAGGGCTCCCTATTGAACTAGAATGTGTCTGAGCCTTAATAGCGAGATCAAATAACACGATGAGCAGTCCTATACTTTTTTTATCTGAAGAGAAGACTCCAGAGATCACAGTGCTGCAAGATATGTAGCAAACGGTGCAATTTGCTTGTTTTTGTGCTGGGCTTTTTAAAGGGCTGCTATTGTTTGCCCACTAATATCTGTGTGGATATTCATGCCCCCCACATCCCCTCTTACTGTTAGATCCTTTTAGAGGGGCCCTTGAGCCTACGGTAATGAGAGGGGGAAATAGTCTGTATTTTTTGACTAAAGCTGTATAATATAATATATATATATGGAGATATACCTATCTCATAGAACTGGAAGGGACCCTGAAAGGTCATCAAGTCCAGCCCCCTGCCTTCACTAGCAGGACCAAGTACTATAAATGAGTTTGTCTTCTATGAATCAGACCTTCATATACCAGACTGCCATGTTCAGACTGGCTAGTTCCTTCACCTGCTTCTGTAGAGCAAAGGTGGGCTGTTAACCTTGGCATACATAGCTGGTGTTACACTGACCTGACTTGTCTCCTTAGTATCAGACCCACTAAGATCTGCGATCCATTCACAGCTTGGCTCAGAGTAGTTCTCATCAGCTGAATGTTAGGCAGTCCTGTTTAAGGTACCATGGGAAGAAAGGCAATAAATATTCTTTCCCTGGATGTCGCAGGAGGAGATCTATAGGTAGAGCATCTGAATTTTCCCATTAAGTGTGTCTGTGTCAGTCAAAGGTTGTTTTTAAAGCCCAGCATTAGACCTCAAGGCTTCCATAGAGAACGGCATGTCTGTGCGGGCCATTGGGAGTGAGGGGGGAGAGAAAATAATTCAATTCCTTCCTTCCTGGTTTTTACCAGCTGATATTTCAAACTTGTTTTCAAAGCCCCCAATAAAATAGTTCTGACTATGTTGGACACATTAGAAATACCCATGACCATGGCTTCTAGGTGCAGTGAATCCTCCTCACACCTTAGTAAAATCCTTGTCTTCTACATATGATTGCATGACTCCTCTTCCCTGATAGAGATGTAAGGTGACAAGTGAATTGCCCCATCTACTGTGAATACATGGGAAGGATTGTATTAGAAATCTAACTTGGCAGAAGTCCTTCATGACGAGGGTTTTCAGAGAAGCCTAGGGAATTAAGCTCCCAGCTCCCACTGAATTTCATCAAAGTTGGGCATCCAGCTCCCTTAAAGCATTTTAAGGCTGCTATCTTCAAAAAAGCGTATCGCTCTGGGGGTGAGTGCCATCGGGGTAGCAAGTTAAGCAGCTTTCCCAAATGATGACAATTTCAGATAGGTTGTTTTTTGTAAAGCCAGTGAGCAGGTCCAAAGCAATTCAGAACCTTCCCTGCCCCTACCAATACACTTTTGCCCAAACCTTTCCTTAAGATCCAAATAAGTTCTGTGAATTTTTTTTTCACTCTTGTTGCATGTCCCTGATCATCTGTATCCCATCCAGCAGCAAGTGCACCAAAATCTTGCAAGAGGGCATTCTCGAGTTGTAACCAGAAATCTCTCACGGGGAGGTGGGAGTTTACTTTTGAGACTTCCTGCATGGCTGTTGTAGGGTTAAACACCCAGATTTCAAACTGAATCTGAGCCTCCTAAGGGTCTCCTACTGCTGTTCATGAGGCAATAGCAGGTTGTAATTAAGAGCAGAAAATCTCATTTTAATTACATTTTCTTCCCTGTGTTACTAATGCCTTAAATTATGGAAGCTGTAAAAATTCTAAGTTTCACTATAGATGCACAACTTCTTGAGTTTCTCAACCTGGACAGTGAAATTAGCCTGGTCAATTTCACAGGGATTATTTTTTTATCTTAGAAAGGTTTCTATTGGCATTTAAGAAAATGTACAGTAAAACTTCCGTTTGGTCTTTAAGATTCTGTAAAAATCTTAACTTACAAAACTTGAATTTGGGGGAAAATTTGACGAAATCCAGGTCCAAGAAAGAAGGTGGTGAGGGGAGACAATCCCTGGCAATAAAAGTTTCCTTTGGTTTTTCCTTTGACTATGATTGAAAATTGAATGGGGTTTGCCTGGAGCTGTGGGCTCTGAGCTGCTTACTTCTGGGTATAAGGTTGTTTTCTCTTCCCTCTTCCAGTCGTTTATCCCAGAATGCTGCTGCTTTTGCAAACTGCATCTATTTCAGAGCTTACATTGGCTGTTCAGCCCTGCTGTCAGTAGAAGTGGCTTGTTAGGGTGCCAGAGGCGGGGGAGGGTGGTCAAGAAACAGAGAGGCCAAGTGAAGCGCACCTGCTGCATGCCACAAAAGTGTTAATGTGAACTGCATTTCTCAGGCTTTTTTTGCTTTTGGTGAAGGAGGGGTTGCATGTTTGTCATTGATGGCTTTTGAGGCCTTCTCTCCCCCTCACTCCCCTCTAATAAAACTTGGTGCTCCACAGAGGAATCTTGTGAGATCCTTCTGTTGATGCAGAGGAATAGGTGGCTTTTCACGGGACAGTAACGGCAGTTGGGAAGGATGGGGGTCTGTGGAGTCCCAAGCCCACCCCCTCTCTCCCTCTTTGATCCATTCATTCTTAAGAAAATCTCCTTTCCAGGCCAAGTTTTAAGGACAGACCCTTATGGGTTGGTGGGGTTCTTAACTTCCCTTCCTTCAATGTCACCTGGGAACCTTTAGCAGCTGCATGGGGACAAGCTTCCAAAGCTGCCTCTATCACTTTCTGCTGAGGCTTTAAAAATATTGTGGCAATATACTGTTTTTATATTTTCAGATTGAGAAAATCATGAGCTCCATCGGTGAAGGAATTGACTTTTCTCAGGAACAGCAAAGGATCTCAGGTACTGTGCTCAACTACTGTGTTGTATTCAAAGCCTGACGTAATGGCAAATCCCTTCTTCTGAGCAGCTTTCTCAATCTGCCTTTGCATCCAGAAGGGAAAACGAATGAGAGGACTAGGATCATAAGTCATATCTCATAACTTCTGTGTGTGGCGCTACCACAGCTGTCAGTGTCCGGATTTTGGTGGTCTATCTACCTTTCATGTAGGACCCCCACCTATGTCATATAATGTGAGTAATCTCCTTCTCACAGGTATTGGATGGTGAGAGGGAGGGTTGCAGAGGTTGTAACCGCATCCCTAGCAGGAAGATGAGCTTTGGTTTACTGCCTAATTTAAGACCAAAGTTGGCAGACGTCATAGAAAGCCCTGTCTTGTGTGTCAGGTGGAAGTTGGCTGCTTTAGATTTGTTGCCTCCTGAGAAATGAGAGGCCGTGAGTTGGTTTTTTATGTGGATCCCTGGATGATGATGTCAGCTCTTGCAGTTCTCTTGAGTCTCCCAATATTTGGCAGTGTGTTTTTCAAGGTTTGGCTCCTGCAGTCAGGTGATGCCATCAGAATCTGAGCTGTGAATTTACAAGAAAGGTTTCTAGTCTTTGTGGTGTGAGAGAGGTTCAAAATCTAATGGCAGATAAAAACAACCCCAAACTGATTTTAAAAACAACTCGTATGTAAGCTTGGCTCAGGACTTGGTGAACTCTTTGGGTTGGCAATAGTGTCTAGGGCTTGGCACCTGTTTGGGCGCTCTGGTGCCTCAATGAACTTTCATCCCTGGGTAAATGTAACCAGTACAAAGACCACCTACTCTAGGAATTGCATTGTATCTTCAGAGGTACCTTCTGATGCATGGGGTGGAGAGGTGAACCTCCGAAGTGCAATTTGCAAAATTCTCCCCACTAGGTAGGTAAGATACTTCGGTGAAATGGTACTGTTCTTCCATTGTTACTGGTCTCCGTACACCCTCAGAGGAATAAAACTAGTTAGGTTTACTGCTCTGTCCAAAATGTTTCTCAAGCTTTTTGTTCTCCAGTGATGGCTGGTGTGACCAGGAGGCATTTTCCTTCATGTGCTGCCTGCCTGCTTCTTCTGAGGTGTTAATTTTCCTTCCTCCTTGTAGTATATAGATGTAACACGATCCCTTCTAGACAGAAGAAAAATCCATCTCTTAAATAAGATTAAGATGAAGAAAAACATGAGTGTCTGGGTTCCCAAGACAGCTAAACAAGGTGAGCCCTACAGCAGAGTTCTTTAGAACAAAAGTTGGATTTCATTTCCTGGGAATTACTCAGTCCATTCTCTCCTCTCCCCTCTCCTCCTAAGCCCAAGAATGGAAAGCCAGAGTGAATTTTTCAGTGCCCATTTGGAGCTGAGTAAGAAAACACATTTTGTTCTGTAGAGGTTCAATTTAGGCTTTGGTCTCAAACATTTTCTCTCTCAATCTTGTAATCTCACTTAACAAAAATACCCGGATTTAATACAGAGATGAAGGTATCAGGGGTTGCCTCTAAAATTCATATCTCCAGCTCCGTCAGCCAGTTGTCTTGTATACTGTGGCAGCCAGCGATGTAAGGAAGTATAAAGAAGTCTCATTTTCCAATCCTGTGTGGCTTGTTTCAGCACCCACACTCCCTAGAACGAACTTCCTTATTGTTGTCGCGTTGGAGTCTCTTGTAGGCTCCTGCAAATATTCCACAGATTAAATCTCTAAATAACATTTTTAGATGCCTTGGAGCAGAAGCCCTTGAACAAAGCTTATATAGGACTCTGCCTTGGAAGGATGGAGGACCCTTTTCAGGCCCTCCAGATGCCAGTCCTGCTCTCTCCCCTGGGAAGACAATGAAAAGGCATTGATGCTCGAACATAAAAGATCTTCTCTGCCTCAGGGATGCGCTAAAATTCGCTGTTATGAAGCCTATGATGGGAAATGATTTTATGGGAAGCTCATAATGTCTCTGCAGATGGGATAATAAAAAACCCTCCACTCTTATGTCACTGCCTCTAAATATGAATGGAAGATGGCTAAGGGCATGGTAGAATTAGGTAAGGAAGCATGGCTTAGTGGTTAAGGCACTGGGCTGGGATTCAGGAGATTTGGTCTCAAGAATTCTCAACTCAGGTACAGGCTCCCTGTGTCCTTAGGCCAATAGTTTAATCTCTCTGTACCTCAGTTCCCCATGTGTAAAATGGCAGATACTTCCTTTCTCTTACACTCTGCCCTCTCTGAAAGTGTGAGTGTAATAAGTGCTTTATGGGCAGAACTTAGGATGATGCCCATTGCTGGTCAACACTTGTAATGCAGTGACTATGGCCTTGTCTCGTACGCTTGGCGCTTTACAGGCTGCTCCTGGCAGACTCTCCAATTTGTCCAAAGGTCAGCCTCAATGATACTCTTTTCCTTTCGTGTTAGTCAGATGCAGAAGCAGCAAGCGAGGGAAAATAATAGTACTGCATGTCTCCAGCATAATCTAAGCTGACTTTCTTATGGCAGAGATTTTTCTGTTCCCCTGGATTGCTCCCTAAACATTTATTTTCCCTCCCCCGCCTTTAAGCACCAGCAGCCAAAGGGAGGGCTACTGAAAGCTTCTGTTTGCCTCCGCTCAGATGTTTTGGAGGAGCGACACATGAGAACGCGAAGGGGGGCTTCACAGGGAGAAATCCTGCCTTTTTACATTTTCCAAACCCAAAATGCTTCAGTGGAACAGCATCTGCGCTCCGATAAGGTGCTAATATGTATCTGTGCACGTCTGCCATAGTAAACCTTAGCTTATTGCAGTTTGCTGCTTGGGTTTTGCATTGGCCAGGAGGTACCAGTCATTTCTTCTCAGTGGGAGTCTATCCTGTGACTGCTGTAGATCTTCTGCTTACTGATTAGGACTTGCTTCTCAAGTCAAATAGCACTACAGCATGTGTGCGTTGAAATAGGATATATTTTAGGTCCAATCCAATGATGACCAGTTAGAATCTTCCTTTGTGACAGCCCCCCTTCGCAGGACTGTTTGTAGCCATAGCCGGGAGTTTGATTGATTGACGTCATTAATGAGGAGGCCTGAGGAGAAAGGATTCCATTTTTGCTTTAGCTATTGTGCAGGGAGATCTTGGTAAAATGGACACTTGTTTTTCAGAAATGGGCTGACATGTGCAGCTGCTTTGTTATTAACCCATATGTTTTTCTATAGGCTGTGCTGTGTTACAGATTTCCTTTAGATCCTCTGTGTAGCAGCTTCTCTAGACATGCAGGTGGAGAATTGCAGCATTTTTCCAGTAGAAAAATTTTCCATTTTCTTTTTTCCCTTTTCTTCTCCTTTCCCTCCCACCCCCCAAAATGATTTTTAGTGGCTGGGACCTGGCGAATGCATTGCCAGCCTCTTCCTGCCAGGAGGCATGAGTGCAGTTGTCTTGAAAGTGGTTAGGCCAGAGCTAAACCTTTGCATCTCTTTTGTAGTTTAACCTGTGTTGTGCAGTATGTCTGCTGAGCTGTACTCATGATGCAAGTCGTCTCACGCGTTCAGAGACCATGACAAGGAGCTCCTCAGATTTATTTTTACGTCTCCCAGAGCAGATGGCGTTTGGGGAGAGTGTCTGTAGTCAAATCCCTGAGTTTCGCACCCTGGGGTGCTAGTTTGCCCTGCTCAGTGCGTTATGGAACTAATCTGTTCTGAGCCCCTGCTTTTTCCAGCTGCATTACTGTACTTATCTGATCCTTGTTTTGAAGGGAAGAGCAGGCCCAACAGGAAGGAAAGATGGTCCAGTGGTTAGGGCACTAGCCTAGGACTTGGGGGACTGGGGTTCAAATCTCTGCTATACCACAGACTCTCCCTATGTGACCTTGGGTAAGTCACTTAGCTTCTCTGCCTCAGTTCCTCAGCTGTAAAATGGGGATAATAGCCCTGCCTTGCCTCATGGGGAGGGGAGGGCAGGGGAGGAGAGGAGAGGGGATGTTGTGAGGAATACATTTGAGACGCATGTAGATAGTAAGGTATGGGGGGAGAGATAGCTCAGTGGTTTGAGCATTGGCCTCTAAACCCAGGGTTGTGAGTTCAATCCTTGAGGGGGCCATTTAGGGATCTGGGGCAAAAATCTGTCTGGGGATTGGTCCTGCTTTGAGCAGGGGGTTGGACTAGACCTCCTGAGGTCCCTTCCAACCCTGATATTCTATGATCTAACTATATGGACCCCATTACCAAAGATAAATAGATGGCTTTCTTTTTTACAGTGTTTGGGCTAGAACTTATTGCTCAATCAACAGGAGTCAGACTTCTGGTTTCCCAGTGGGGCTTGTGGAAGATGACCTATTCTATCCAACCTACTTCTTGGCTGGATCCCAAGGGTGGGGTATCTTAGACCAGGGAAAAAACCCTTCTGTCCAGTTGAATCGTATTCATTGATCTGTGTCTGTAAGTGCTTTTCAATGGCTTGGATGGTCAAGAAATCCCGGCTCTTAAAGAGAAATATATTCTCCACGTCAGCTCCATCTTAAAGCGTTTTTTTGGCCTGGAAACAAAAAGCTTTGTATTGCTTCAACAATTTAGCCTGTGGTCTGTATCCCTGCAGAAGTTGGTGTGTTTTGTGCAGTCTCACGTTTCTTATTTCGACAGCCTGCTCTTGATCATTTCTTCTGCACAGACGTTGCCTTCCCATGTGTTGAAAAGGCAAAAAATATCAGGGGTGGGGTAGGGTGGAATGGCTTCCTTGACGGAAACTCAACCCCACCACACTATAGCTCCCTAGCCCACAGCAGCTCTGGCTGCTGGCACTGGGAGGCAAGACCTGTATGATGTCCGCTGGTTTAAAGTGATTTGTCAGGCAGGGTTTCTCTCTCCAAGCCAGAGGAGATGAGTGGTCTCCGTGCAATCAATCAGCCTGATGTAGGTGGGGGGCTTGGTGTACTGGACAGGGAGTGTATCTGGGACTCTGAGTTAACTGTGCAGTTAGCTGGAGACACAAGCTTGAAAGGTGGATGGCATTTTACTGGACAAAGAGGGAGGCTCATTAGTATTCTGTATTTGACTAATCAGTTTTAATCCCAGTAGTGCTCAACACTGGCTATATTTCCTGCATCTGAGAGAACTAATGGCTAATTGATTTAGCTCTCTTTGCCTATATATCCTGTTTAATGGGCTTGATTTGGTTTATAGCCCACCTTGAGGGACTGGAGGACATTTGGCTAATGGTCTGGCCCATCAGACCCTGTTCCATCCTTCTTTCAGTGCCAATAATTGCACTGCTTGAAGTTTGGCCCTCCTACCTGTGCATCTTGCATCTGAACTGTACTGTCGGACTGCAATGAAGACCAAGAACACAGCCTGTGATTTTCCTGTAGACTTATTATAACATAAATTGGTCATGTCCTCAGTTCCAGACAAGCCCTGTTAAAACACCTGTTAGACCCTGTGCATAAGTACAGTCTACCCTAAGGAAGTTTCTTAGGGTTTGGACCATATCATCCTGTGTGTGGCATCAAGCACACTGTCAGCATTTAAATAATCATTGCCAGGTGCTATTACATGGAAACTTTTTTCCATAACTGGACCCTTCTGGGGTCTCACTCAGCCCTAATACCTTCATGCTTTTAAAGCTTGTTGCATTACCTGGGGAAATGACTACGCGGAATTTAATACCTTGGTCCTGTTTCTTTAAGATTGCTAAAGAGCAAGTGTCATCAGAAATATAATTAGTCTATTTACTCTTGTGTTTAATATCTTAAACCTAGGCCAGACTCTTAGCAGAAATCATAGCTCTGCATATAATTTTATCAGGGTTGGGGGGAGCTGGTTAGATTTAGGACTTGGAGTCTCTCCACTTTCTCTGTAAACTGAAGTTGTGATCAGACTTCTGTTACAGCTGTGACCCAAGGGAGCAATGTAGGGGGCTAATTCACTCTTCTCCCACTTATTATATGCAGACATAAATTATTCAAGGGCATCTTATGCTTCTCTAAATAATGCTGGCAGACTTCAGATGTTTGATCTCTGGGATCCCTCCCTCCCCTCACTGGTGTTAAATATCCAAAATCCAGCCTCTCCCCTGACCAGTTTTGCTGGCATCTCAGCGAGTTTCAAGATTTGACTGTCACTCCACTGTTAAAGACAGAAAGGTTTGCAAAGGCTGAGTAAATATTTAAAAAAAAAAAATCCAAGGAAGGAGCTGACATAGCCTCAGTCCCCCTCACTGATGCCCAGCTGCCTCCACACACACTTGTATTAGGGCAGCAGGAAATTTCTGCACCTCATAACAGATAAATTCTAAGCAAATTGCAAATCACTTCAAATTGTCAAAGCAAACCGGTAACATTGTTTTTTGAAAACCAAGCCACGTAGCTCATCATTGAGTAAATATTGAAAAGTCGGCAATTTCAGCTTGACAATTACAAAGCTGCTGTCTCCCTCCCCCCTCTTCTCCTCTCCCTCGGCAGCTTCTATACTGAAGTCTGATCACTGCTGGTACATTAGATGGAAATGCTGGGAGGAGGAGGGAAGGGGAGGGAGAGGCAGTGTGAGAGCAAGAGACAGGACAGGGAGTGGAACAGCAAGCGTGGAGCTCCCTGCCTTCAGACAAAGCGCTCTGCTGCAGCTCTCTGCAAGGGCGCACCATCGATTGCTTGGTACAAACCACAGCTGTCTGGCTGCTTACAGACCAGAAATGATAGTGGGGAAGGATGGAGTCCCTGGGCAAACAGGAGCCTGCTGCTTGAATTCCAGGGTTAGATGCTGTTCCTCTGCACGGACTGTGTTAGGCAAGGGAGACGGAAAGCTTTCTTGAGCTCTGCATCTCGGGTGCGGCAGTGTGCGTTAGGCTGGCCAGCTCTCTAGAACGTATTGATCACGGCTTGCTTAGCAGAGGAACTCTCCTGTGGACCAGCGCAGCAGTGGGATCCCTGACTCCAAGATGTTTCTGATAACGCAGTGAGCTCTGTGTTGTGCAGGCATTGCTGTGGGCTGGGGGTGGGAAGGATGTCTTAGAATGTGCAGAGTGACTTCAGTTGATGAGAAGGTTCAAAGCAAGAAATCCCGGGTTCCTGGTCCTCTTTATTTTGCATATGCCCTTGAAAGACGGATGTGCTAGGAAGCTGGAGAAATTCTGCGTGTCTTGCATACCAAATCCTCGGAGTGGGATGCAAAGGTCGTCTCTGAACTTTTCTTTCCTTGGCATATCTAATGTCTTGAGAATTTCTAGAAGAAAGCAACGAGTTACTGGACTCTCTTCTCAGGGTTGGGGAACGAGAGTTTGCCTATATGGTTTCTGTAGGGCATTTGAAGAATGAGTTTCTCATTTATCGAATGGCTGAAAGGAGGTGCTGGGGCATGTCATGGACATGAGCTACTGCAGGAAGAGGGGAGCGTGTGTGTATGTTCGCTTTCCTTTTTATTTTGGCTTAGTTATGGAGCAAAGAACTAAAATGCCTCCTTCCCCAGAGCTGCATTCCATCTGATTGAGTGGCTTGGGCGGCAGCATCTGCATTTAGATGAGAAAAATGAAGGAAGGTCAAATCCAAGCCTGTGCGGAACACCTGGCAGGACGGAATGCATTGGGTGGAAAATGTGCTGATTCCTCTTTCTCTCTCACCCTTACCCAATGCTGCAGTGTAGCTAGTCGCTCCGGTCTAGGATGTTGAATCTGGTGCCCAGCCCGGTCAAAGCAGCCTGAAGGGATGTGGTGCCTCTGGATGGGTGGTAAAATGACAATGCCAGGACTCCTAAACTCAGTCTTGCTGTCACTCGTGCCTCTGCTCCTTGTAACAAAATAGCAGAGAGGACCCGTTACCATGGTTTGCCTGTTTCGGGACTGTTTAGGGAAAAAAAGTATAAACTCTTCCTATCTTCTGCTGCAGTTTGTGTGCTTTATTTCTGTCTTGCATGTCTTCCTGTGGACAGCTGTTCTCTAGTCTGGCTGCTGCTACTGCTTTTCTGAAAGTCCGTCGTGTCTGTCTGTCTCTCAGCTGCATGAAGATGTATTTTCTCTCTAGCTGCTTTGTGCCTCCAGTATTAATGGCCCTTCTTGCTGGCCTGGTGTACAGAATATTGCACCTGAAGTTGCATGGACGAAAGGACCCGCGCGGCTGTATGTATTTGTGAGCGCTTTCTCGCCATGGTCTTGCACCTGCACTTCTGACTTGGGATACCTTGGGTGAAAGTTTGCTGCCCCCTGAGATGAGACAAGGATTTGATCAGCATCCCTCTGGGGGCTGGGCTTCGCTCGTATGCTTGGCAAGAAACGTGCGTAAGCCCAGAAAGCCATGCCTGTAATGCCATGGTCCCCGAAAGGGTTCTAAACAGCTTACTCTTGCAGGATGTTTTTGAGTATAACTGGGATATAAATTAAAGCCTCAGTCCGTGGGCAGCACCAGGAGCTTATTGTCCATGGTCTGTGTGTGCAAGAAGAGTTGTCTACCCTCTGACTTGTACTGTGGTCATAGTTTGGCTTCTTTACAATAGTGACTATGATGTGGCAATGCCATCTCTCTTCCTCAGAGTGCCGCTGCTACCGACTTAATGGTTTTTCCCTTTTCAAGCGTCTGCCGATTCCTCTCTCGTCAGGTTCGCGGATGCTGGAGCAGAGCGTCGGGGAGTGGCTGGAGTCCATCGGCCTGCAGCAGTATGAGAGTAAGCTGCTTTTGAACGGCTTTGACGATGTCCGCTTCCTGGTAAGTAGCTGTGTGGGATTTTGGCCAAGTTTTTCCCCATCATCCATAAACTTGTTACAAGGCCCTGTGTAATCTGCAGCAAACTGGACCTATGTTCTGTACCAAGGACCCTTGGATTCTGTGGCACTCCAATGAAGCAGCTGCTGGAGGTTCAGGAGATAAATTAAGGAAACATGGAGGGGTAGCCTGGATTATTCATTTTCATATTTAATTGCAGCTAAATCACATTCATCTGCACTCATCAGCAGTGGGGGAGCTATTCCATGCATAAGGGGGTGGCATAAAAGGTTGTTTTGGATAAGTGGTTTTACAGAAAAAACAGAAACCGACAGCACTGGGACCAGGTATCTCCCAACTTCCGTGTAGACAGGATATCTATGCCCTTCTTCCCACATCCTGGGGACCCCTAAGACTGTCTGGTATATTGTGTTCAGTTGAACCAGAGCGTCTAGCTTTTTCCAGACAGATGCTAAGACTTTTGGCTGGGAGGGAATGCTTTAAGAAAATCTGTTGTTTGCCTCCCCATTTGTCAAGCTCTCGTGGAAGTCCAGAGTCTAATCTCTGGGCCTCATGCAACTCTGAGTTGGATCGGGATCTCTCTCACCTGTGCATGTAGCATTCCCCTCACCACTGAGTGTAATTAAAACAAATCTAAATGAACTTATTTTGAAATGAAGGCAACAGGATATGTCTGGATTTCCCAGTCATACAGGGAAGCTTGAACAGGCAACCCCCACTCCCAAGTGGCCTCTTGAGAGTATCCTCAAGGTTTCCATTGGCTTAGGTTAGCCTTTAAAGATGAACCTCTAACAGGCAACCAGTCTTTGCTGGTCTTTTAGGTGGACTCTTAAAGGTCAACTGCAGCTGACGTGTGGCTAGAGAGGTGCCCTCAAAGTGGAGTCCAGAAAGTGTTTTTTGCTTGTGAGTTAGCCCTCAGGGATATCCAGGCTTGGCTTCTCTGGCTTTGCTGGAGGACTGGAAAATGAGGGTCAATTATTATATGTATTGCCTTTGTGCGTAGGAACCCTAGTCATGGGTCAGGAGCCCTTTGTAAAAACAGTCCCTGCCCCAGAGAGCTTAAAATCTAAGTAGTGACCTCCCAAGCTGCTGCTTTCCTCAGGGCATGTCAGGAGAGGATGTTGTCGCTCCATCTTCTTGGCTTTGCTAAACCTTGTTAGTGTAATTTAAACCCATTTTAATAGTTGAAGATGGAAGCGAAGCCAAGTTAAAGTCTATTCTGAGTGTGGAGAGAACTGCAGCTCGGGCTTCAGTCCACTTTAATGTCGTCATCCCGCTCCAGTCCACCTGCAAAATCAGCCAAGTTGAGACATGATGCCTCTACTGCTAAGAAAGAGGGAGGGGGGGGGGAGAAAGGAAAACAGGTTTTTTAAAGTGAAATAAAGGGCATAATACAACTTTCCTTGCTTTGCAGTTCACCTTTAAATCACCTGTATGTCTAAAGTTAGTATTGCCACATCCAGAGTACAGTGCTATAGCATTAAATGTGTGGCTAATGCCAAGGTAACATCAGCATCAATGCCTCCACTCTGTGCTAGCCGGGAGTGTTCTCATGGAGGTGGAACTCGCTACTTATAATTGCATGGTTCTGGTCTGCTCTTGATTTGATTAAGAGAAACGCAGCGGCTTTGCTGGAAGAAAGGGTGTTCCAAAGGGAACTGTGGACTGTGAAAGACAACAAGTACAATAATGTATTTGCAAATGGAGGACTTCTAAAATGGTGCGCACTGTTCAGAAAGTCTGAGCTAGTTCAGTCTTCTGTTGCTGGGAGGGAGTTGCTGGTGCTCTCAGAACTGCTTTTGTGCAGATGAAAGTGGTGTACAATACTGGGGTGCTAGATTACTACAGTGAGTTTGACAAAGGCGGATTCCAAAGCGCTGTGCGTGTGAGGGAATTAATCGTGTTTGTGGTCTGAGTGAAGCTTTTCACCCACTTGTGAGCCTGGAACACAGCAGCCGTTCAGTGCTGCATGAGGTACTTTGGGAGGTGAGGGGGAAGAGTTGGGAAGACTCGCCTTCCCTGTGGTTTCAACTGGAGAGTTTAGTGAGGCAGAAGATAATTATCTGGTTGGGCTGTAGCCTGGACCACAGGATAAACATTCCTGTGAATGACATGGGGCCTGGAAGGCGCACTTGTATACTGTAAATATAGCACTCTTACCCAGCAAATTTGCTTCCTGTTGAGTATTCAGTCAGGTCTCTTTGCTTCTGTGGCAAATGACTTTCATTCCCTTTGCCTCCGGTTAGCTCTGCAGAGCCAATGCAGCTCTAAGATGGTGTCAGATTTTACTGTAGCTCATGCATCTTCAACAGAGCATCTGCACTGGCCACAGCTCGTGCGCACTCTCTCTCTATATATCTGTATCCAGGTGGACATTTTATCTCAGCCCCTCTTATGTAGGTCTCTTCCTATGACCATAGATCACTCTTGTCTTTAGCATCTTTCTATTTTTGCCCCCGTGTAAGATTTTCCCCTCTGCCTTTCTGTGAAGGTTATAATTAGAGTTTATTTAATTAATTTTACTCTTACTCTGACCTTTTTGTGCTGCTTGGCTGTCCTGTGTAAATGAAACTGTCCCATTGTAGGCTGTCTGCAGTACCTTGAACAGCTCCACCAGGCAACAGTGCATAGATAGAAGAATTATCAGCCTTTGCCAGTTTCACCAGGACTCTGTGGTTTGAAGAAGCTGTGTCCATTAACCCTTCAGCTGCCTGAAGCATTGGGTGCTCCTGTGTTTCAGGTAGTGTTCACATTAGCAGTGTGCTTAGTGGTGAGAACCAGGCTGGGGCTCAATAGGCTCCGTCCAAAGATTTGACATCAATGCGAGATGGGGCAACTTGATTGACCCCCTCTGGGCTGCTTTACTCATGTGTAAAATACATACCTCTTGTGGGCCGTAAGACTTACTGTTCTTGCAGTCTTGGGATGCTAGCATCTCTGCCCTTCTTTCTTTTATTGTTGCTAGTGCCTCGTTGTGTGGTTGCTCTGGAGATGGTAATGGGCCCCCTGTTCAGATAATTTGATGGTGGTTTGGCTTTTGTGAAATGGGTGGCTGAGCCTCAGTCTAGGCCCTAGTGCACAGGTGCCTATGTCCCCATACCATGGCTATCAGGCGTAGCACTAGTTGACACTGTGGTGCTAGTCTTTGTACAAAGGGCAAATGTTGAGTGGGCATGGAAGTGAACTATCCTCTTGTCCCCCAGAGGGGATTCCTTGAGGTCAGGGTTGGGCACATAAGGGGAAACTCTTACTGCCGTTGTGCCTGTCTTGAATGACTAGAGCCCTTCGCTCTCTAGAACTCAGCCCAGCATAAGGTAGCAAAGAATTGAATTTAAACCCTAGCTACTGGTGTTCCTTCATTACTCGTCCCTCGTTACCAGTGAGCAATTAGTGGGATCCATGTTAGGGCTGGGTTGCCTTTCCTTTGACTGATTGGAGCTTGAAGCTGGTACAGTAAGTACAATAGGAATGTACAGGCCTTAAAATTCTTCTCCACTTCTTGTTCCAATTTGTTTTCCTGATGCTCATTCATAGCGCAAAGCCGTCAGGCGCTGTACATATGAGGGACTCATATTTAGGAGTATTTTTTCTGTGATGGATTTGCACTAAATCAGATTGAATTATTAAAGAGGTGGTAGATGTTAGTGTTTGGAAGTCTAAGGCAATGGAGTTATCAAAGGTTTCTGATGTATTCGTTAGCCCCCACAGAATCAGCCTGTACATGACTTTTCTCCATGACTGAATGTTTCCTTTATTAACAGCCTAATTTTTTCAGCTCTAATGAAGAATGTTTCTAACTGAAGAGGGATTTTTTTTTCCTGGAGTTCTTAAGCCGTTTTTATGTGAGGATTAATCCTGATTAGAGCCTCAGAAGTGAGCCTCGAAATATTCAGTGTAAAGAGTAGCAAAGAATGCTGGGTAATGGCTTACAAATTGCCAGATGGGCTATAAGGCTAATTAAGTTTTAGTAACAAAAATTAAAAAGTTGGCATCTTTTGATATTGAAATGTTCTTGTTGCTTATATTAGATGCTGCATCACATTATCCAAAGTAGATCATGTTGCAGTTTTGTTTTCAGTATGCAAAGAATGTTTCCCTGGATGCCTTAATCCCCAGGTGGCCCATTTGTGAGCAAATAACAGGCTCTTAAACGTTGGGTAAGCAAGAAAACATCACAAGAACAAACAGTTACATGTGTAACTGCTGCCAATCTGTCATATGGTTATAGCGTCCCAGAGCATCTATTTAGTCTAATTTCTCTTTGAAAGGTGTTCAGTTTACAGTCCTGGTTTAAAGCAGAATTTTAAAAAATATTCTAACAAAACTACAGCCTGTTTTGGGGTGACAGGAAGTAAATCCAATGTGTGCTTGTACAATTTCATTTGGCAGTATTAGTTCGTTTGAGCAAAATGAAACATTACAATATGGAAGAGAACACAAAGCTGTTGCAGTGTATTCTGGAGCAGGGAAAACCATTTGCAGTAAGTTTCAGTGAATGTTGTGTGGAGTTGAGGGAGGTTATTTAGGGGTTATTTATACAACAGAGTTCACTGCCCATGACGGTAAGGTGACCTGATTGCTGCAAATGGCTTCCCATGGGAAGCATGAGTAGAAGTAAAAACTCAGTAAGATCACTTGAGGAAACAAAGGGCTCCTAAATGTCACCAATGTGCAGTTAGGAAAGAGGGTCTCTGGATACCTCAGGGTGCGATCTCATATGCAAGGCAGTGTTGGCTGGGTCAGTACTTCAATGGGAGTCCTTCAGGGAAAATCCAGGTAGTGCAGGAGCTGGCATCTCAGTAGGTGACACCTTTCCCTTTAAATCAGTACTGAACCAGCACCCCCTGTGGTGTCAGCAGCCACTGGGCTGTGACAGGGATGATTTTTTTGAATAAAATGCAAAACCAGGGTCCTGAAAACCTTGGGCTGCCAAAACTCCTGTGATGCTTTTCAGAAGAGCAGTTAGTCCCCAGGTGTCCTAG